ACCCATCTACATTGTCAGGTCATTTACTTTAGAATAGGAGCCACGTTGGCAACCTCTAGTAAAAATATCCTGGTGCATATTATCAAAAGATTTTGGTCATTGGAAATCAACCACATATTCCATGTACATTCTTCTAACAGAGAAGGAATTGACACAGGCTTTTAAGGACTTAGATTTGTAATGTCAACATGTATTAAAATATTAATATTAAACCTTTTGCCCTCTTTTATTAGAGGCCTACCCGAACGTTGGTTTTAACACGCCAAACCGACTTAAAGTCACCACTACTTTTGCTCGGCTTTTGTCCCTGACCACAAATAGAAAGGCGGAGCCTGTAATTGTGGGAGAGGTTATCCTGCCTATAAATACACAAGCCGCACCTAATACCAGGGATACCACATGGTTCATCTCACCCACTACAGCCTTCTCTTATAAAATTCACTTGGTTGGCCTTTTTTTTTTACAAGCCTTCCTGAACATCGGTTTTGGCACAACACAACCAACTTATACCACTACTTTTGCTCAGCTTTTGTCCCAAACTACAAAATATATATGCACAGAATACAAAAGTGAACCATGCTTTAAATTCTAAACAGTTATAATATTATTTGTATCATGGATGGAATAATTGTCAGCAGAGAATATTCAAATGTGTGAGCCAGGATAGACAAAACTGAGAACTTAGAGTATCTAATAGTATGAAAAATAGAATAAAAGGATAATGAACAGCTTGAGCTATCTTCAAACAGGCATAAAATCAGCAGTGTAGTACTCTGAAGTCTAAATCGGCAAAAAAACTAAAAACAAACACAATGTACATAATAAACTTCAAATAGGTTAGTCAAAGTTTTAATCAAATCACTTGTAAAACCATGACAGGCAAAGTTGCAATTAGTCTTATATCATAATGTCTCCATTAGATAGGGGCTTTATGTTGGGCTGGTGCATAAAGCACATCTGGAGGTATATTTTCGAGCTGGCCTTCATAGACACATTACTTGCCTAAGCACTTCTGAAATGTTTTGCATAGCTTGAATAATTCTGTCTTTCATAAACGAGAATGTTGTTGATGGTCCTCTTCAGTAGGCTGTTCCTTTGCGTCTCAGTAAAGCAGTCACTGGTCTAAGAGAACGGCACCATAGCACATTTGCTTTGAAAAAATCATTATAAAATTAAAGAGTGTAAACTTAATGGCATGCTGATATTTATGCATGAAATTGCAGGATCAGTGAACCTATAAATCCCCTTCAAATTGTGAAAATCACAGTGAGAAGATGCTGGACGTCCATAGGAAAGCATTGAGTAATGCTTTCCTATGGGCAGTTTGAATGTGCCGCGCATGCGCATTCGGAGCTGAAAGGCGGATCGGGGCGGAGAGATCCCCAACGCCAAGGAAGTCCGGCACTGGAGAAAGGTAAGTGCTGAAGGGGTTTTAAACCCTTCAGCCCAGCGGGACGGGGGCCACAAGGGTGGGGGGGACCTAAGGACTATATAGTGCCAGGAAAACAAGTTTGTTTTCCTGGCACTATATTGGTCCTTTAATGACAAACATTCAGATACACATACAGACAAACAGATACCCATGCAAACCAAGAGATACAAATGTAGACCCACATACAGGCACACACACACACTCACTGACAAACACATATACACTTTCACTAACAAACACACACTCACATACACTCACTCAAAGCATACACACACACTCATTCACTAACAGGCACATACACACACTCTCACTAACAGACACACACACATTTAATGACAGAAACACACTCATTGACAAACACACACTCACTAACAGACACCACTAAGACTCACTAACAGACACACACACAAACTAACACACAACTAACACACTCAGTAACAGATACACACAGTAACACACTCACTAACACACACACACACACACACACTCACTGACACACAAAAACTAACACACTCACTGACACTCACTAGCAGACACACACAAACTAACACACAACTAACACACTCAGTAAAAGATACACACACACACAGTAACACACACAGACACACAAAAACTAACACTCACTAGCAGACACACACTCAATAACAGACACACACTAGCAGACACACACAAACTAACACACAACTAACACACACAGTAACACACTCACTGACACACACACAAACACTAGCACACATACACACTCACATTTTTTTTTTTTTAATCCCCCAGACTCCCTACCTTTGGGAGTGCTGAGGAGATTCCAGCTTTCCCTGGGGTCCAATGGGGCTGCTGGGCGGCCGGTCACTGCAGGTGGCGAGGGAGCACTGATCCTCGTGTTCAGCTCCCTCATGCGCCGCTTACTGATGCCGGAGTGACGTCATATTCCAGCTCTAGCATCACTGGGCAGAGAGAGCTCAGGGGAGAATGCTCCCTCGCCCGCCCGTGCGCCCGCAAAGTGATGCCACTGCCAGCCTTGGGGGGCCCTGAGGTGGCCAGCTCCTGGGCCCCCAGGAGAAGAGGCTGGCAAAATGTGGCAGCGGCCACACTGGTGTACATACTCGGGTCGCATGGCAGCCAGGCAGCTGCGACACCTGCAACCGTGGTATGTACGCCAGTGAGCCCAATCCAGTGGCGTACTAAGGGGGATGGGGAGGGAGAAGCAGTCCGCCCCAGGTGACACTAAGTAGGGAGGTGCTACACTCTGTACCTCCTGCTGGTTCAGCTCCGGCACTCAGTCAGTGAGTCAGAGCACAGGGAGGGGATTCCCAGCCTGTGTTCTGAGTCATCACTGAGCACCACAAAGGTTATTATGGAGTGTACCAGCAGGGGGTGCAGAGCATGTATTGTGCCAGGTTTCTCCTCTGCTCAGCCACTCCGAACATGCAGGGGATCAGAGTCATCCTGTCTAGATCCCTTGCACCTGCTGCACTGCCTGACCCTGGGCTGGGATGGAGATGATGAGACAGCCCCTGCTGCACCCCCTGAATGGTAAGCTAAAAATATTATTGTAAATTTACCCCCACCTAATCATAATACCCTTCCTGCCATTATACCCTAACATTTGTGATGGGCAATTGTAGGTATAATACACATTGCTAAATTGTATTTCTTTAAACTGCAACTGTTTCTTTAATTAATAACCTTCTACCTACTTTCAGTACACAATATGTTTACGCCATCTTGTCTTAGATTAATGCAATAACAATTCAAAACTTTGCCTATGTCAACCTAACTTCTAGTCCAAATAAAGTTTAAAGATGTCTAGGTTATGACAATAGTCTTATAAGGATGTTTTCCTTTTATTTTTATATATGAACTGCTTTTAACCCTAAAATGAATTAACCCATACATCACCAGTAGTAATTAGAAATGCTATAATATATATATATATATATATATATATATATATATATATATATATATATATATATATATATACATGCATGACCAATGCTAGGTTGAGACTTACTGACCAACACTGGAGGTGAGACATACTGAGAGATTACCTGTATAATCAGGAGGGTATGTTGTACTAATACTATTGCAAGGATATATTCATTTAATTCTATATACTCTATGTGATGAACTGGACCTCGTCACGGGTTCTTGGAGGGGCATACTGGCCAGCCTCTTACCCTCTGACTATGGCCACGTGGTAGCCTATGTTTAAAAACAATGTTTGTGCCTCTTGGACTTATAGCAAGAACCAATCGAACTTTCAGAGTGGCACGTCGAACTGTCGAACTCCCGAAGCCATTCGAAGTGGCAATCGAACATGTGGCAAGGGCCATCTTGTTTAGTCAAACGCATCAAGCGGTGTTTGGTTGTCGAGTGCATGGAACTCAAATCGGACACAAAAATTAAATCGTCTGGAAATAATAGCAAGGCAGCATTTTAAGCTATCAAAACAACACACAAACGTCAGCAAGTGATGGAAAAAGCACACTTATGACCATCAGAGTAATTAAAGAAACTGTCATTACTATAATAAACAAATGCTTGAGCACATATAAATTCATAAAGCTATAAAGCATGTTTATAAAGATACAATTAAGTTTATGCTAAAATCTGCAAGCACTGAGGCAAATATACAATTGCAATATATATATCTATATGCAGAGCCATGGAGAGCAGAAATAACCACACATATTACCCAACCAGTGAAGTGTATAATACAATATATAATGACTTAAGTAGAAAAATCTGAAATATATATAGAGATCACCTTCACTGTTATGGGGGTGAAAAACAGAGTATCATTCCAGATGTTATAAGTAAGAGGGACTAACTGGCTGGAGACATAGCAAGATCATGCACTAGTAAGATACAAAAGTTATATACATATCCTGATTCAGGGAGCATCCTGAAGCCAGCGCATAGAAGGTGTACCTAGAGGAACCAGTGCCACTCAAGCTTCTCATTGAGACCATGAGGTGACAGTGTATCCAGGAGGTGCATCCAGTGAACTTCTTTTTGCAACAATATTTTTTCTCTATTCTCTCCTCTCGTAGGTGGGGGTACCCTTTTCAATATTTGGGAGACATTATGTCTATTTTCTCTAAAGTGTCGCGCGACTGGTGTATCAGAAGTAGGACTACGAATTGCAGTTTTGTGCTGAGACACATGATCTTTAAGGGCATGAATCGTCTTGCCTACATAGCCAAGCCCGCATGGACACTTGAGAAAGTAAATTACAAAATCAGTTTGGCAAGTAAAAAACCCTTTTAATTTGATATGCTGTACTGTCCTGGGGTGGGTGCAAAATTCCCCTTTAAGTATCCCGCTGCAATGATTGCAGCTCAAACAAGGGTATGTTCCATGAACAGGTTTGGAGATAAACATCTGATTTTTTTGTGGTCAGAGAGTCCGCCCTAACTACCATGTCTCTTATAGATCTCCCCTGCTTATTAGCAAATATTTGGGGATTTGTAAAGAGATGTCCTGTATGTTTGTCGGATTGCAATATAAACCAATTCTTCCGTATGATCTTTTGTGTTTGAGGTGAAAGTGGTGAGAAGGTACTTACAAATGGGATTCTATCCTGTTTTGGTTTGTCAGTCGTAGAGAGCAGCTCTTCATGGTTCATACCCAGAGCCTTGCGTTTGGCCTTTCGTAAGAGGCGGGGGTGATACCCCTTGTCCGTTTTTTTTTTTTTTTTTGAAAAGTCAGTCAGACGTTCATTCACTATGTTGTCATCACTAACAAATCGACAAACTCTCAGGAACTGGCTGTATGGAATAGAACAAATCTGCTTAGGAGCATGGAAACTATTCTTATGTAACAGACTATTAGAATCTGTAGGTTTTGTATATAAATCAGTGCATAGGGATCCATCATGCTTACCAACTAGTACATCCAAAAAACTCACAGCAACACTGCTAGTAGTAGTAGTAAACCAGATGTCCCAATGGCACTGATTTAGAAAGACCAGAAAGTTATCAAGATCAGTCTGGGTACCATGCCAGAGTAAAAAGCAGTCATCAATGTACCTTACAGCGGAGAGTTTGTCACGTATTATCCTCAGACCTTCATCGTGAGGTATAAAGGTATAAAGACTGGACACATCTAGTGTCACCAGTAAGTCTGTAGAGTCAACATATAAATAGTGAATTATTTGTAAAAAAATCTTTAGTGTCTTTAATATAAGAGGTGCCAGCAGTCACTAGGGGTTGTAGAAACTGGTCTACAAAAATAGCTAAAGGCTGAAAAATTGAATCTGTCCCAGCCACAATGGGGCAACCAGGGGGATAGCGGGCATCTTTATGGACCTTTGGCAATGTATAAAAGACAGGTGTTCTGGGGAAAACTGATTGTGAATTTGTAACTATTTCCTCCTGGAGAGCCCACTCTACTACGGTTTGAATTATCTTAGCCACATGTGCTATAGGGTCATTCTTTGGGACTTTATAATTAGTTCTCTCACCCAACTGTCTCATAATCTCGTTATGGTAATACTGTTTATCCTGAGTCACAATCTGGCTTTTGTGCAATTTCCTTCTGGGCAGTTTTTTCCTGAAACGTCAAATTATACTTAATACCTTGTTGCTGCCAGGGTAATTTTTCTACCTCAGAGCCGGAGGTAACTATATTACAGAATGTTTGAATAGAGTGATTTGGAACAACTGGAAAGAATGTGATTTTCTTTTTACAAACCTCCAGATTGACTGTATACTTAGACGATGTGCCCGCTGGGATTTCATCTCCTGGATGAGGGCTGGCTTGCTGGCATTGGGGTTGCTGACCTGAAAAAGATGCACGCAAATTAATTAAGCAAAATAATTTTTGTAAATCAGTTTTACAAGAGAACAAGTCAGATTTAAAAGACGGTACAAAATGTAAACTTTTGCTTAATGCTGACATTTGAACAGTAGCTATTACTTGTGGCTTTTTTTGAGGGTCTCGCTGCGAGTCTGCAGCCTGTCTTTTTTGCCTTGTGTGTCCCCTGTTGTCCCTTCTTGTGTGGAAGGAAAACCTAAAAAAGGCGTGTCGTGGTGCTGGTAGAAGAGGCTTCTGAGTCAGATCCAGTTGTAAAGGATACCCGTGAAGAGGTACGTGTTTGTTTTCGCTGGGACCTGGGTCTTGTTTGTTGCTTCCATGTATATACACGGTTAAATTGATAGTCCAGGGGAGCCTGTGGCCACACTGTCTAGACGTGTCTTACAACAGCTCCGTGCCAGCCAGAGAAACAATCGGTATTAAGGCGTACTACAGCCACATTTCTACTCACCTGGTGAGCTGACCCTCTTCCTCCACCGATGAGGCGTAAAAATAAAAAGTATAAGGCTATAGCCGATATCGCCAATCTCCTATGGAGGTCGCACTCTGCCCTGAAGCCTCTCATGGCGCCCATTTTGGACAGGCCATCCCGCTCAACTAGCAAAGAATCCCTAGCTGATGCGACTACTGGTCGGGAGGAGGAGCACTGAGAAACCCAGAGCCCATGCAGAGGGCCCACCTGTGACAGAGCGTACCTTGAAAACCCTGTTAGATGACCTCCGACGCAACATAGCTGCTGACATTACCCTATTTAAGGAGGAAATAAGAGGAGTATCGGGGCGACTACATGACTCTGAAGTCGCCACTGCAGCCCACGAGGTTCGCATTGCCAACTTAGAACAAGAGCTAAGTGAGCTGAAATGCACCCAAGCACAGATCCAGACCCGCATGGCAGCGGCGGAAGATCGCCGGAGGTGGAAGAATATAAAGATGCGGTGTTTACCCGACAATATCGCAACGGCCAAAATCCCTCACTTATTAAGAAGGCTGTTTACCCAATTATTCTCTGCTAAACAATCCAAACTTGTGGCTGTAGATGGCTTTTTTTCGGCTGCCAGCACCTCTAACAGGCACCAGGGGAGAGCACAGAGATGTGATCATTCGCTTTCAAAATGGGCCTGATAAACAAACTTTCATGAATGCAAGTCACAGCAAAATACCCTACAACTTCGAAGACCACAAGCTTTCATTTTATCCGGACCTCCCTAGAGAGACTCATCATTGAGACCACTAACAATGGAACTTACGAAAAACAATGTGCCCTACAAGTGGGGGGCCCCACGGTGTCTCTTGATACCCTTCGATTCTGGGACTTTGAAAATCATGGTCGCCTCAGAGATAATTGGTATACTGCAGCAGCTGGAGTTGTCTGGGATATGAGAAGGTACCCAGAGCCTACTACAATGGTCTCACAGTCCCCAACGCATCGGCCTCAACCCACTGCCAGGGATCCCGCTGGGGCTCGCCCTTTTGTGCCATCCACCCAACAGAGTACCTCTGCACCGACGGCGATCTTTTGAGCACCGATTTTGCACCTGCAACCATTTCTATTGTTCTTATGTTTTCTTTTTTTTTTTTCTAATGCATGTTTGCAAGTTTATTAATGTTGTTCCATATGCCTAGACAGGAAATACACTCCTCCACACAACACCCGCTGGAAGTTACCCTCATAGTTACAGGAAAGTGGGTGATAGCCCCTAAACCTATTGTATATGTCCTATGGTTATGATCCTCTTGCCGAGTAGAGGGGCACACAGCCTATTCTTCCCTGCTAGGCCATATACTAGCACACAATACACTCTCGAGGGGTAGTAGGTTCAGTAAAACCGTTCCAAACCTAACTACTATTACCAAAGCTCCTCATTCCTACTGTCCAAGCTACAGGTTATACTGGCATTAGTGTCGTCGGGCAGCACTTGATAGATTATGTTTTGGACGCTACAAACACACAATGCCTATTCATGTTCTCTATACATAAAAATGTGCTGAACAATGTATACACTGATTATTCGCTGATATGTTTACATCACTGTACGTTTTGATATGTATACTGTCTTATCTTTGTCACCACTAAGCACAACAAAAAATGGAAAAAAAAAATTGATAGTCCAGAGTATCTCTTTTAAATTTCTGAATTTTCACCACTTCTAATTCCTTGCGTAGTTTAGATACAGACACTGCAATTTCTTGAGTGATCTTTTGGATCTTTTGGAGTCTCAGCTTCAATTTGTGCAGATAATAGTAATGATATTTCATTTAGTTGTGTTATAATCTTGTCCAATTCCTCATGCAAACTCTCCACTGTTAGAGCAAACATGCCAGAGTGATGGAAATGTACCGCACAGCTGATCCTGCTCTAGATTTCATAGAAACATAGAAACATAGAATGTGATGGCAGATAAGAACCATTCGGCCCATCTAGTCTGCCCAATTTTCTAAATACTTTCATTAGTCCCTAGCTTTATCTTATAGTTAGGATAGCCTTATGCCTATCCCACGCATGCTTAAACTCCTTTACTGTGTTAACAACTACCACTTCAGCTGGAAGGCTATTCCATGCATCCACTACCCTCACAGTAAAGTAATACTTCCTGATATTATTTTTAAACCTTTGTCCCTCTAATTTAAGACTATATCCTCTTGTTGTGGTAGTTTTTCTTCTTTTAAATATAGTCTCCTCCTTTACTGTGTTGATTCCTTTTATGTATTTAAATGTTTCTATCATATCCCCCCTGTCTCGTCTTTCCTCCAAGCTATACATGTTAAGATTCTTTAACCTTTCCTGGTAAGTTTTATCCCGCAATCCATGAACCAGTTTAGAAGCCCTTCTCTGAACCCTCTCTAAGGTATCAATATCCTTCTGAAGATACGGTCTCCAGTACTGTGTACAATACTCCAAGTGAGGTCTCACCAGTGTTCTGTACAATGGCATGAGCACTTCCCTCTTTCTACTGCTAATACCTCTCCCTATACAACCAAGCATTCTGCTAGCATTTCCTGCTGCTCTATTACATTGTCTGCCTACCTTTAAGTCATCAGAAATAATCACCCCTAAATCCCTTTCCTCAGATGTTGAGGTTAGGACTCTATCAAATATTCTGTACTCTGCCCTTGGGTTTTTACGTCCAAGATGCATTATCTTGCACTTATCCACATTAAATGTCAGTTGCCACAATTCTGACCATTTTTCTAGTTTACCTAAATCATTTGTCATTTGGCTTATCCCTCCTGGAACATCAACCCTGTTACATATCTTAGTATCATCAGCAAAAAGACATACCTTACCATCAAGACCTTCTGCAATATCACTAATAAAAATATTAAAGAGAATGGGTCCAAGTACAGATCCCTGAGGTACCCCACTGGTGACAAGTCCAAGCTTGAATATATTCCATTAACTACAACCCTCTGTTGCCTGTCACTCAGCCACTGCCTTACCCATTCAACAATATTGGAATCCAAACTTAAAGATTGCAGTTTATTGATAAGCCTTCTATGTGCAACAGTGTCAAAAGCCTTACTGAAATCTAGGTAAGCAATGTCTACTGCACCACCCTGATCTATAATTTTAGTTACCCAATCAAAAAAATCAATAAGATTAGTTTGGCATGATCTCCCTGAAGTAAACCCATGTTGTCTCTGATCTTGAAATCCATGTGTTTTTAGATGTTCAACAATCCTATCCTTTAACATGGTTTCCATCACTTTCCCCACTACTGAAGTAAGGCTTACTGGCCTATAGTTGCCCGACTCCTCCCTATTACCTTTCTTGTAAATGGGCACAACATTCGCTAACTTCCAATCTTCTGGGACTACTCCTGTTAACAATGATTGGTTAAATAAATCTGTTAATGGTTTTGCTAGTACACCATTAAGCTCTTTTAATAGCTTTGGGTGTATTCCATAAGGTCCCATTGACATATTTGTCTTTACTTTTGACGGTTGAAATACAACCTCTTCCTCTGTAAACTAACGTGTAATAAATGACTCATTTATCCTTTTTCTCAACTGAGGTCCCTTTCCTTCATTTTCATCTGTAAATACAGAACAAAAATATTAATTGAGGCAGTCAGCTAGACCTTTATCCTCTTCTACATACCTTCCTTCTCTTGTTTTTAATCTAACTAATCCTTCTTTTACTTTTCTTTTCTCATTTATGTATCTAAAAAATGTTTTATCCCCCTTTTTTACTGACTGCTATTTTCTCTTCTGTGTGTGATTTGGAAGCTCTTATAACTTGCTTAGCCTCTTTCTGCCTAATCTTATAGATCATTTTGTCTCCCTCACTCTGGGTTTTTTTATAATTCCTAAATGCTAACTTTTTGTTTTTAACTATTTTGGCCACATCTGCGGAGTACCACAGTGGTTTCTGGAATTTTTTGCTTTTACTGACAAGCCTAATGCAATTTTCTGTTGCCTTCAATAGTGCAACTTTTAAATAATCCCATTTCTCTTGGACTCCATTTAAATTGCTCCAGTCTGATAATGACTCCTCTACCCATATTCTAATTTTAGAAAAGTCTGCTTTTCTAAAGTCTAAAACTTTTGTTTTTGTGTGGTGTGACTCAGTCACTGTTCTTATATTAAACCACACTCACTGATGATCACTGGATCCTAAACTTTCACCTACAGTAATATCTGATATCAAATCTCCATTTGTTAACACTAAATCTAGTATGGCCTCTTTACGAGTTGGCTCCTCAACAACTTGTTTTAGAGACAATCCCAGTAGGGAGTTTAGAATATGTGTGCTCCTGGCACAAGTAGCCAATTTTGTTTTCCAATTTACATCAGGAAGATTAAAGTCACCCATGATGATAACTTCCCCCTTCATTGTCATTTTAGCTATTTCCTCAACTAGTAGATTATCTAACTCTTCAATTTGTCCTGGGGCCTATAAATCACACCTACACGAGTTACTGTGTGATTACCAAATTCTAACGTAACCCAAACGGACTCTATGTTT